GATGTACTCTAATATTGTTATTCAAATAACATATTGCAAAATGATCCATTGAGTAGCTAAAATAAGGTCTGTTTTTCAATCTTCTGTGATTGTGACAGCATGTCCATACTTCCTGTGACAAACAATTGGTAACCTTGACCCGTAGTTTATGATGGGTAAATCACTCTGAGTGGGGCTACCTGTAGTGCCTCTTCTATGGTGACAGGAAGTGTCGGTGTATCACACCTTAATTGTCATCCATACAATATGCCTGATATTCCTGGCGTTCTATTGACTCACTATAACGATAGTCTAGGTTGTCGATTTCAACTTCAAATCAATTTCTAGATGTCAAACGAGGGCGCTAGAACACTGTGCCAAAAAAACTACATTGTTTCAATCCACTGTTGCCTTGGAAAAAATTAGCTTTGGTTTATCTTCCTATTTTGGTACATATACATCATTGCTACTGTAGAAATTAGTTCCCCCCCCCAAAAAAAAGGTGCTAGATTTCAGTGCGTTTTAAATATGTAAGGATAATGCTTTAATTACCACGACAAAAACACACAGACAGGGACTGGCAGTCTGAGGCAGGAACACCTCTTTTATTGACTGGTGACCTGCGAGAATGGCCATATTGACAACATATCGATAACATATCGACAACAATTCAAATTGAAGAACAGTCATCAGCATAAACAATTTTAAAATACACAAGTATCACATGAATGGTTGTGAGAAAGGCAAAATACAGTAATCATTGGTGCTTGGATATTGATGATAAATTTTAGTTCTGCTACGAATAGTATGCCTGGCTGGCTGAACTGATTTGACAGATTTGCACCCAGGACCAATAAACAAAGTGACTGATAATTAGTCCATTTGAGGGCGCTATCACACTATCCTCAAATGTACACAATTAATAATTTAATATTTTTTTTAAATACAAAAAAATTATTATTGAAGTAAACCGAATTCATATTCTACAAAAAATGATAAATGGAATGACTAAAAAAAATATAAACTGTCTGTAGACTTGATAGAAAATTTACCATAAAGGTCAAAGGAGCAGAAAATTATGGTTTCACAAAACATTTCCAAAATTTTATAAGAAAATTATTTGTCAGACTTATAATAGACCTATTGTACTCAGAGTATATTTTAACTCTTTTTATAAGGTCAAATAAACAAATAAACATATGAAATAAATGATTACAATTTACAATCATTTGCCTTTCATAATATTTAGTTATTCATTTTTCAAAACGTTTATATAAATTTATAAAGTCATAATTAATTTTAATTCACTTTTATAATGAATAGATAATTTTGTCAAAGCACTGTACTGTATGGGGTATAATTATATATTATAAGATATTTTATTATTTTGACATAAAATGACTTGTGTAAATCTGGCAATGATAAAATGTGTTTTAAAAATAAACGTCAGTTATTTTTGGGAAACATGTGTTTGCACTAGCTGACCAGGCTAATTCTAAATTTAAAAGCGACATATTGTTATGTTAATTTTGTTGACTGATCTAGATGGTCTTAACGCCAGTAACTTTATCCCCTAGCGTGAATTAATGTCTTCATATTTAATGGTGTGTTTATATATGTATGATCCTATGAAAATCAGTGTAAAAACTCCAATTTTTCAGGCACACTGTAAATCTTAGAATCACTTTCATGTTTTTCATTAAAACGCACCGTTTTAATTGAAAACACATTGTTGTAATTGAAAACATGTGTATTATATAATATAACACCTGGATTTTCTATCAAAACATTAATCTTTCAGTATTTTTAGAAACGTGTTTTAGGGAGTTATTTGTGAGTAAACATTATGGTATATAAGCCAACTAGGCAATCACCGAAAGAGATGTAATTCAACGCATAATGAGATGGGTCATGATATTACCTCCAGAAAATAATCATTTTGTCAAGCACCAACCTTAGTGCAAGTAGAAATCGAGACACGTGGTGAATTAAATACCTCGTGGCCTAACGGATTTTATTAGTCCGCATTTAGTGAACAAACACACATGTAATGTGTCAAGATAAAACACTCGACTATGCATGTTTTATAAGTGTTATCCGTATTTTTGGCAATGTGAAATGTGCATGTTTCTATTTCCCAGGGAAATATATATCTATAATCACGTAACGAAAAATTACTAAAAATTATTCATTTAAAAATTGTATTATTTTACGAAAATGTACAGTACAGGTAAACACTGTGGTTTCATGGCTAAATCGATTAGCCCAATTAATGATTAAGAAATGCGCCATCGTGTTAAAGTTGCATTCTCAGAACCTTAAGCATCATAAAGGCTTTGAATTTTGAAGGGAGAAATGAGAAATCATATCCAACAGATCCTAAAAAAATTAGATCACCATCTTAAATAAAGTAGCCTTGAGTGATTATAACAATAACAATTATATTCGATTTGGTGAGTTGGATATAAATTCTCGTGACTAATACATGTGACTTCTTTCATTGATTCGTTTAGCTCGGCGACATCGCTAGTGACCATTCGCTGTTCAGGAACAAAAACAGGTCTGGATAAACGAGTGACGCAATTTGTTCTACCGGTGGGGGCCACTATTAACATGGATGGCA